GAAACACTGACTTGCTGTGTGTCATTGTGTTGGTCAGAGTTCTCAAGATTCCTACAGCTAATTGCAGATTGACTTCTTCCATCTCTGGGTCTCTCCCCCGATGGGGTTACTTACGTCCTTCTGTGTATATGTTTCTCTTATTGGTTGATGAATAAAACACTGGCCAGTAGCCAGGAAGGAAGTACGGTGGGGTTACCAGATGAGGAAAATTCTGGGGAGAGGATGCAGAGAGTGGAGACACCATGCTGGAGCATTCTCCAGTAAGCCCAAACTACATGGAGATACACAAATTAATATAAATGGGTTAATAATTAAGAGAGAGAGAGAGAGATAGCCAATAAGAAGCCTGAGGTATTGGCCAAGCAGTTTATAATTAATATAAGTCTCTGTGTTTATTTGGGGCTGAAGGGTGGCGGGACCAGGGTGGACAGAAACTCTGGCTACACTCTCCCTCCCTTCTATCTATTGTCTATGTCTATCTGTATACATATCTGCTTACAAATCATCCATCATTACCTATCATCCAAGTATTATCTGTCATTTGCTTGTATTTATCTATCATTTAATCATCTGTTTTTTGTTTTTTGTTTTTTTGTTTTTTTTGGCCTTTCGAGACAGGGTTTCTCTGTATTGTTTTGGAGGCTGTCCTGGAACTCACTCTGTAGACCAGGCTGGCCTCCAACTCACAGAGATCTGCCTGACTCTGCCTCCTGAGTGCTGGGATTAAAGGCGTGCGGCTTCATCTGTTGTTCTTAAATATGTGCTACTGTCTGTCTTTTACACATTTGCCTATGTATTATCTATAATCTGTTACCTATCTTCTATTATTTATTTTTATCCATATGAGTGTTTTGCCTACATGTATATCTGTGCACCATGTGTCTGCAGGACCTGCACAGGCCAGAAGAGGATATTGGATCCCCTGGGACCAGAGTTATAGACAGTTGTGTGCTATCCATTATGTATGCATTATGAATAGAACCTTGCAACTTTAGAAGAGAAGTCAGTGTTCTTAAACCACTAACCCACCTCTCTAACCCCATCTATGATCTTTTACCTATCTTCTTTCTTTCTTCCTTCCTTCCTTCCTTCCTTCCTTCCTTTCTTTCTTCCTTCCTTTCTATCATTTCCCTCTCTCTCTCTATCATCTATTCATCTATATCATTTCTAATCTATTCATCACCTGTTACCTTACTACTATGTATTTAATACTTAACCTATCATCTATGTCTTTGTTTATTTGACTGTCCATCCATCCATCCATCCATCCATCCATTATATGTCCTATTATTTATGAACTGGTGGTATAAAAGTCTGAGGTCTGAGGGCAGAGGATATGATGGTCTAGGATGGAAGATGAGTTTGAAGGCCTGAGAACCATGAGAGCAAAGATCAGTGACTGGTGCCCTTTCTGAAGCAGTCAGAGTTGTGAATCCTGCCTTCTTTGACTTATCTGTTCTCTTCTGGCCACCAACAGACTGGATGGCACCTGTCACATTTACTTCAATACTACCCTCCTGTAGACATAATTGGAAATAATGTTCATCTCCAAAGCTGGATTGCTAATGATCTAATCAAATTGACACATAAAATTAACTACTACACCATGATAGCAATGACCTTTCTCTTAAATGTTATGAGATGAAGATCTGTTTTCTTCCCAAGAAGCCATGAATCACTGGGGTATAAATTTACCTCATCCATACTTTATGAGGAGGGATTTGCTTCATTAATTTAAAGGACCTTGAACCTCTTCAAAGTCCCTTAGGTGACTGTCATAAATAAATAAATCTGAGGCTCTCACATCCTGAGGCTGGTGGAAAGCTGGTTCTGTCCCCCACACTCAGGAAAGCAGGCTCTGTACCTTACCTGGGCAGCACAAGACGGATGAGCCAGAAGCAACATTGTGAGCATGGGAGAGCTGTCCCCATCACTCATCTGTCCTGTTACCCCCGCACTCACTGCCCCATCAACCACCAAGGCAGGTAGAAGAGCGGTTTCTGAGGTCATAAGAGTGTGAGTGGGGGAGCTGTCTGTGCTCCTCATTAGCTGCAGCCCTGGGGAGAGCAGCCCTTACACCTCGCCTGGACAATGCAGTAGAGCAGCCCCTGAAGGTGCAGGTGGGGGAGAGCTGACCCTGAGGTCGTGAAAGTGGGAGAAATGCCCCTGCCCACTCATCATTGCAATGGTTGGATAACCAGGGCAATGCTGGAGAGCTCACCCTGGTGGTGAAGACTGGGGATTGGGGAGAGTTGGCAGGCTGACCAACCCAGCAACTACCCAGGCCCACAGCCAGCATTGTGTGTTGGCCCTCCCCAACACTCACCCCATCTACGATCTCCTGGAGCATAGGTGGGGGGTGGGGAGGTGGTCAGTCTTGTGGACCTGAGGCTGCAGGATCTCCATGACACAGGGCAGCAATGGGATGTCCAGAAAGAGTCCCAATGAAGACCCCGTGTTGATGATGTAGCAGAGACTAGGGGCCTTGGACCAGACCAATGATTCTTTGGGATGAATGTCTGCACATAAGGATGCATGGATAAAGGGGTTTACTGTGTGATTCACTGTATCACACTGTAACTTCCACGATGAGATTCTTCCTCTCTTCTCTCCCCCGTTTCTTCTCTGAAATTTTTTTGGGGGGGGTGAGTGAGATCAGGAGACATGATGTGAAACACAGAGAATAAGTAAAAAGAAAGTTAAAAGAAATACCCACACCTCCTGAAACTGGGAAGCTTCTGTAAGGTAAAGGACACAGTCAACAAGACAAAAAAGGCAGCCCACAGAATGGGAAAAAATATTCACTAACTCCACATCTGACAGAGGGTTAATCTCCAAAATTTACAAAGAACTCAAGAAGCAAGTCTCCAAAACACCAAAGGATCCAATTAAAAAGTGGGCTACAGAACTACATAGAGAATTCTCAATAGAGGAGTCTAAAATGGCTGAGAGGCACTTGAGAAAGTGTTCAACATCCCTAGCCATCCGGGAAATGCAAATCAAAACAACTCTGAGACACCATCTTACTCCTGTCAGAATGGCTAAAAAAAAAACCACCAATGACAGTTTATGCTGGAGAGGTTGTGGTGAAAGGAGAACACTCCTCCACTGCTGCTGGGAGTGCCAACTGGTTCAGCCACTTTGGAAATCAGTATGGAGATTCCTCAGAAAAATGGGAATAAACCTACCACAAGACCCAGCAACTTCACTCTTAGGCATATATCCAAAAGATGCACATTCATACAACAAGGATGTCTGTTCCACTATGTTCATAGCAGCATTATTTGTAGTAGCCAGAACTTGGAAGCAACCTAGATGACCCTCAACTGAAGAGTGGATAGAGAAAATGTGGTACATTTACACAATGGAGTACTATTCAGCAGAATAAAACAATGGAATCTTGAAATTTGCAGGCAAATGGATGGCACTAGAAGAAGCCATCCTGAGTGAGGTTACCCAATCGCAAAGAGAAACATGGCATGTACTCTCTCATATATGGATTTCAGACATAGATCTGGGGAGTGCCAGCCTACAATCCCACAGCCAGAGAGTCTGGGGAACGGAACCTTCATCCAATGGCTGATGGAAGCAGAGGCAGATTCCCACAGCTAAACAATGAGCTGAACTCAAGGAACCCAGAGACAGAGAGGGAGGACTGATGAGCAAAGGGGTTAAGCCTGGGCTGGTTTAACCCCCAGAAACAGCTGATCTAACAAGGGGTAGTTCTTAAATCCCAGACTGATGGCTGGGAATCTAGCATGGAACTCATCCAGACCCCCTGAATGTGGGTGTCGGTGAGGAGGCCTAGGCAATCTATGGGGCCTTGGGTAGTAGATCAGTATTTATCCCTGGCATACAAATGGACTTTGGGTGTCCATCCCACAATGAGAGATGCACTCTCACCTTGGACTCTTGGGGGGAGGGTCTATGCCCTGCCCTGGATGAAATGACAGACTATGGACACCCCCATGGAGGGCCTCACCCTCCCTGGGGAAATGAGGGGGTGTTGGGGGGGGTTGGTGGGAGGGTGTGGGAGGAGGGGAGGGAAAGTGAGTAGGACCTGGGATTGACATGTGAAGAAACCTTATCTCTAATTTAAATTTAAAAATAAAAATTAAAAAAAGAAATACCCACGAACCTTTTGGAAATAATAATAAAAAAGCCACCTCTGTAATCTCACAGTCTAAGAATAGACTTGACTTTTGGATTTTTGCTGAATTAAATATGTGTTCAGTGAAGGCAGTCAAGAACATTTCCAGTACCAGTTTGAGACTTGTGGGGAATAGAGAGGGTTTCACTGTGTGTGGAGGGTATTGTGATAGCCACACGGGCTGACTTTTGAGTGTGCTGGGGGTGAGAAGGAGGGAAAGGTGAGTATTATCACAGTCATTTAAGCCACCCCTTAGTCAGATCTGACCAAATGTAAAGGCTGCAGTAGGTAGACACTGTTCGTATCCCTGTACATGGAGGCCAACGGTGAGGTTCTATGGTTTCTGGGTAATTACTGCGTCATTACTTTAATGAACCCTCACAGTGGTGGCGTTTGTCATGGTGCCTGGCCGGATAGCAATACTCTGTGCCTTCTAGGGTAGCATTGAAAGGTCTTATGTTCCACTGGTAATGCTGGTCCCTTTCAAGGGAGCTTGCTTCTTCTGGGTGACCCATGGAACTATGCTATGGTGGCCAGCCACCCTTCAGGAACACCTGGTGAGTGGCACCTACTGGTCCTGGCTTTACTGTTCTTCTCTTCATCTTTGGAACCATGGCTCTGAGGAAAGAACCAGCAATGGAGCAGGGTGTGTGGTTGAAGGCCCACACGTAGTTTCCCTGACTTTTCTCAGGACATTTTCTTATCATCCCCAGGTTATTTTTGGTCTATGGTCAAAAAGTCCATCCTTGGCTGGATTTAGACTTCTTCCCTTTCTTCCCAATCAAATCACTTCTCTTTGTCATGTCTAAATTGACCTTTGCACTCCCCACCTTGTCTACTGCAGAAAAGGAGCCACTGCAAACGAAACACAATTGAGTCACATCATGTATCCCACGAGGACGTGTGTGCCTTTTCTCTGTCACCCCGAGTCCCTCTCTGAGGCTAACAAGCAAGATCAACATGCTCAGAAAGCAATGGAGTGAGACATGCCTTCTGTCTGGATCAGGTGAGTGTGCTTAATTTCCTCTAGAGCAAGACAGCTGTGCACGGTGCATCTCAGTACTCTGCCCTGGCTCAATGAGGGCAAGCATCACTGCCAGGGGGCAAGCATAACGGTATTAGTTTTGACTATATCGAATGCCTTGTTCTGGAGACATCGACTTGGGATGCAGTCCTGGGTCAGCCATGTTACCTGTGTAACCTTTGACAAGACATTTTTCTGAGCTCTAGTGTCCATGTCTGCGATTGGAATCCAAATACTAGTGATTTTTACAGGACTGATAGACTTACTGAATTCAACATTTTAGGTACACACCATGCCTAGTGTTGCTGTCCTGGTGTTATGGTTTATACATTTCATGTAAAATCTGGGGCAGTCACGATGTCTGTGGCCAGAAGAGCATTCTGTGGGGCCTCGGCTTCAGTCACTATGATTTATTTTTTTTAATTCAAGGGGAGAGATAAATCCTTGATTTGAAAAGGAAGAATTTCTTAGTTGTAAATTCAGTTTAATATATATGGTGGGTATTCTCTTTCCTCATAGAATTGTAGGGTTTTCTAAGACTTTTCAAAGGCCCTAATCAGACTCTGCAAAGGTAGCCCCTCCATGTGTGATTTACCTGTGAGCTATATAATTTCATGGTGGTAAATTAAAGTGTAATTTCATCCCCAGATTCAATAGTTGTGATTTTTAGATAGATAACGAGGGAGCCTTAGACCCAGGTTTGCTTGGGAAGATTCTGCCTTGTTTTGACATGTTAGACGGAAGACACTTGCACTCTCACATCGGAAAGCCTGGTTATAGTGCTCCAGCACACACGGGAGCAGGCTGTATCTTTTGTTACAGAGCAGAGAGGCTTTAAAACCTTTTTGAAGGCTGCAATTAGACTCTGAGCAAAGGTTTCTTCTCTCTTCATAAATCGTATGCATGGACTATACAATTTAATGGAGGTAAATTGAGATGAATTGTTTGAAGACCCAATTGCTCCCTTTCCAAATGTTTTGAGATTTAAGCTTCCTCAGATCAAATCCAAGACAGGAGCTGAGCAGCTGGCTAGATTTCTGTTCTTTGTCCATGACAAAGACTATGGGCTGTAGTAGGTTGCTGTAGAAGCTACAGTTTTGCCTTTAGATGGAGGGGGTCGATCATCTGGATGTGTAACCAGGTATTTTTTTCTACTTGTATCTGAAAGATGCTCAATGACTTCAAACGCTTCACTCTTTGACCTCTAGAAGGAGGTGGAAGGGGCTCACCTATCATTCAGAGGACTCTCTTTCTTGTCCCTCTTGTACATGTAGATACACATGTAGGAAGAGATCTCACATACCCGCAACACTGACCACACCTGTTTGGTCACAGGTACGTGGGGGGTGGCGCTTGATCGAGGTCGGAGGTGGGCAGAGTGCTGACCTCAGTTCTCAGCTTCTCATGTAAGTGACTTCTCTCTCTCTAATAAAGTATCTTACGACTCCCCTGCCCATTATCCTTGGCATGGCTTGTTTATCAACATCAGACACAGGCCGTAAGAAGTAAAGAATTTGCTCAGAATCTCCCAGTACACGCAGCAGAGACTTCTATTTCTGCCCCCTGCCAGCATCTAACTCCACTTCTCCCACAGGAAAAGAACCTTTACTTCGTGGTTGGATGTACAGCTGTCTTTAGCACAGACCTGAATGCTAGTCTTTTTTTTTTTTTTTTTTTTAGTAGAAGTGTCAATGAGACTGAGTTCTAGCTGACCACAGATAAATAACAGTGTCCTGAGTAGCATCTGGAAATAATCCTTTGTTCTTCACTCTGTCCTCTGGCTGGGGTGTGGAAGTGATTCGTTGCCTTATTAACAACACGTAACCAGTAATTGTAAAAGTTCAGTGTACTGTGAGCGTGCTGGCTTCTGGATACATCTATGTTTGAGGGGGTTAACTGAGCCTGATGGCATTTGCAACAAGTTGGTTGTCTACTGGGTATGTGAAGTCACTGTGGCTAGGTCAGGGAAGGCGGCTTCCTGTGCCTTATCTGTCTTTTTTTTTTCTCTACACAACAGGTCATGCTGATGTAAGCAGACATGAGTGACAAGTGGAAACATACAAGTAGCTTTTCTTGTCTCCTCTGTGTCATGTTGGCTAATAGCCTACTGGCCAAAGTCATGTGACCAGGCTGCAAGACAGACTAGGAAAGGGGATACTTCCTGGCTTCATGCAAAAGCTTGCAAAGGACAGGATGGGAATGGAGGCCCAAATGAATCCCATCTATTACAGGTGGATGACTGAATAGAGGGGTAGACGTCTAGAAAGAGAGATTAAAAATAAGAAAGTTCTGCTTGTTATGTTCAGTCTCTGGTCTCTGGTGTGTCTGGCCTATCTGGGGCTATCTTGGATTTGATGTTGTCTTTGGTATCCAAGGGAGAGCTTAGAGATGGGCTGTGGCCCCGGGCTGTTGACTACGTGGGCTATGACCTGCTCCTTCCCTGAAGAAGGTCTTGACTTCTGAGTCATTGTGAAAACTTTCACAAACTTTACCCTGAGATTGGAAAGAATGCGTTTTAGAGACGAGAACTCTTCAGAGGCGTTGTGTTCATAACACACAGTCATACTGTGCCCTGAGAACTGAACTAGGATGCCAAAGACATGTATGATAGGCATGCCTCTGTTATGTCATATAAACAACAGTGTCAGAGATGTGGGGTTATTCTATGCTGTTCATAGGTCCTTCAGAACCAGATAGCAAAAGGAAATGCAGCTGATAAACGAGTTAAAGTTTTTTAGACTTCATGGATTTTTGAATTTCTATTTATACACAATACACACACAGACACACACACACACAGACACACAGACACAGACACACACATACTCACACACACACACACCTTTTGTAGTGATAAAGATTGAACCTAGGGCCTCACTCATGAATTTATTCCTAGGTTCAGCTCCTGGTGCCCTGATATATATATATATATTGAAGATCCGGCAATATTGTTTCAAATGCTCTCACAACAATGTTCTAAAATTCATAGAAGTCACATAATGACAGCATTGTGAAAATTCAAGGTGCGGAATGACAGCTGTTATAGAAGTGAAAGGAAAACAGTTTTCATGTGAAAACTGATGATTATAAACCACGTTGTTGTGTAACTGATGCAAGAGTGAGTGCTGAGGACAATCCAGATTTCTTCCAAGATGTGCAAACGACTTACATTTGTTTTGGTGATGTTAAGACTTACAGCCCATTGGGCCTTTTTCCTTCTGTGGGAGAGATAGGAGTGATTCTGGAAAATTTCCCAGAACCTTAAACAAGTAAAAGCAGTGTTAGCTCACTTTGTAATGGATGATTGATACCTTAACCCTACATCTTCTCCAGCATCACATAGGTGTCATTTGTTTTAAGGCAGACGTAGTAGATCTGAGTTAGCGGGAAGCCTGTAACTTATTATGGGTAAGAAGCAAATATTTATTGATTTCTTTATATATTTGTATGGGTATACAAATGTATGCATATATATGTCTCTCTCTATATATCTATATGCATATATATATGTATATCTACATGTATACACAACCACACATATAAATTTGTATTATATATCCACACATAAATGTCTGTATGTATAATGCGCACATCTACACATCTACATAAATATATGTATAGGCATACAGAATCACGTAGATGTATATGTATATGTGTACGCAGACCACACATACATGTATATGCATACATACATACACACAGCTTTCTCCATGTATGCACACAAACATGTGTAAGTGCTGCACACCCCATGGGGGAGACTCACCTTTTCTTGGGAAGGCTGAGGGAAGTGACTTCTGGGAGACCCTGCTATGGGACAGGTCTTCTCTGGGAACTGGCCCATTGAAACTCTGATGCACGCAGGGAATGAGACATGGTTTCTTCCCCACCTTTTTTATGGAGCTTCCTGGTTAGATAGCCTAGACAAAATGGTGAGATCTAGATTCACCCAGCGATCCTGTTTCCACATACATCAACATACACACATATGCACACAACATATACACAAACATAGAGAGACACCACTGTTTTTGACATGCTTCGATTTTGATGTCATACTATATTTAGAATTTATCGTTTAGTGATCTGTAGCTCACTATAGCACAGATCTGCTGGCACTGTCCGTGGATGAAGGGTAGCAGGTCGTCATAGCAACCTTCCTCCATCCTTCCAGCCTAAGGGCTGTGTTGTCCTCCCGATTTCCTTTGTGACTTCTGTTGTCATAGCTCTGGACTCTGGGGTTTTCTATGCTTTCCCCCAAAGGAAACCATTCCCCGGTGCACTGCTTCTGAAAGATCCGAGAAGCTCTGCTCATTGACCGGTGTGCTCTGTTTCACCCCAGCAGGATGGGGGGTGACTTCTTGTTGCAGAGCAGTGAGGGCGAGCTGTGTCAGTGGTAGTGTCTGAGAGTATCAATCCAGTCATTTCAGGCACCAACACAGAAGGCCTCAGACAGAGACAGTCAACTCTGCTTGCTTCCTTCCCACTCCCTGGAGTTCAATTCCCCCAGCTCCATCCCTCAGCGTGGTCCAAGGCTGGTGGCACCTGCCATGACTGAAAGAAGAAATCCAGACTTAGCCACCCAATCAGAGTAGGATCTGGGGGTCTCTGATTCCCAGAGAAGTTGGGGGTGTTTTCTGAGGGCTCCCATCTTCCCTGACCTGAATGAACTCCAGAACTCACCTCACCTGTCCCCGTATTTCATCCATTTTGAGCTGAGCTCTACAATAACTCCCTCAGTCACATAGGGGACACGTCATTATCTCCCACCTCTCTCTCTATGCACCCCCAACACCCCACTTGTCCGGGGGCATGGCAGCAGGGGCACTTAGCCACGGGGGCATGGCAGCAGAGGCACTTAGCCACAATGCTTGCAATCTCTAGCTTTAACCCTTTAGCTCTAGGCTACAGCTCCTTACTGTGGTTGAGAAATTTTTACCTTGAGTCAGAAAGGATGCGGGTGTGAGGGGATGGGTGACCTCTGT